GTACACAGCCGAGTTATACTAGACCCGGTTAGGGTTTTCCATAGACCGGGTCAATCTGGTAGTTAGGCCCAAATCAACCCAACAATAATATCATTTATGATTCAAAATATTGCAATGTATATCGTACAATATGTATTAAGTTTTTTGACGATATGTGAAATACTTGAAATTGGGTCCATTTAAAAGATTTAAATCAAGGTTTAAAAAATTGGATCGGACACAGAACCGTTTTGGAGACCAGTTCCTGGTAGGGGTGTTGATTGGACTGGATTTGGTCTAATCTGATCCAGTCCAATGTGAGTCCATTATAAATGGACCAGGTCCAATCTAATCCAATGAATAATTTGGACCACTTTGGATTGGTCCAATTTAATGTTCGGACTGTCCAATTTATTCAAATTCATTTTAATTTAGATCGGTTTCAATCCAAACCTGGTTTATTGACACCTATATTCTTATCTTATATCAATGGACCAGATATTGGCTTAATCCAACCAAATCTAATATAAATTTATTACAAACGGACCAGGTCCAGTCCAGTCTAATAAATATTTTGGACTAGATTGGTCCAATCCACTGTCTTTTCGGTCCGTCCAATCCGTCTAAATTGATTTTGGGTCCAGTCCAAAACCGGTTCATTGACACCCTTAATTCCTGGGTCAAACAGTGTGATCATTCAGTTCGAACGAACAGCCTGTTCTAATTAAAAAATAATAATTCAAATTAAAAAATGGCCAGAAACTGTTGTTTGGATCTAACAGTTCGACTGCCCGGATCAACAGATGACCAAATAAACAGTTTTTGGCCCATAAATGGATTTAGGGTGAAATGGAACCGATTGTCTGATCGGTTCTTGGGTCAACCAATCCGGCCATCCCGTCCATCAAGTTTTCAAAACCATGATTTAAATTATAATCAAGCTTTGATCGGTAAGACATGGGGTGTATTGAGAATATTGTGTTGGTTTTTAGAGTCACTAATATACTAAATCTTGAGAATTGGGACATTTGACCAATTTTGAAGGATAATACTAAGAAGCAAGGTTTTTAAAATCGATTTGGACAATGAATTGGTCAGGATTCTGATTCTCAGTCGAACGGTCAGCCCGTTCTGATAGAAAAAATAAAAAATAATAAAAGACGGTCAAAATCATTGAACGGTTCAATTGCCCGGGTCAATGGTTTACTGAGCAAATCAATATTTTTTGGCAAAAATCCGGTTTTGAAGAAAAATGAAATTGATCACCTGACTAGTTCCCAGTTTTTTCAGTCCAACCGTCCAGTCCGATCCACTTTTGAAAACCATGATAATTAAGAAGATGTCCTGATTCAATTTTTAAAACTTAATTATTTTATTGCTAAGAGTATTGTTACATTGAACCATCGTTGGGTATCGGGCATGCGATACTTTTGTTCTTGATTATAATGATCTTGTTATTAGATATGTTAACAAATTATACAACTGAAAAGAAAAGTATTGAGCTGATTACATGCTTAATAGATACTTTAAACCTTTCTATTATCCATGGTCTCATTCTGCATTTTAGTCTTAGTTTTTAAAAGGGTTCTAGTTGAATTCCAATTATGATAAGACTGCTATTATTTGTTTTTTTCTGTTTAACTCTACCGATATAAATTTATCTTGGGAAAATTTATGATGCGGGAAGTTATGGTATCAAAAGAATTTTGACCAATCAAAATTCATTCGTGAATTTTAATAAATAACACTTGATTGATTATCGCATTTATGATACCAGTTAATTAATCAAAATTTTTTCAGGTATGATATTTTTTCGATATCATAGTCGAGCCCTTTTTGCCAAACTCTCATGGTTATGAATTCTGAATTATTTTTTTTTATATATGGTACCAAATAGAATGAAATAGCAAAACAGGGTTTCATGTAGCCAACCCCACATAATTGCGACGAGACTCACAATGGTAATTTTCTTGTTTTTGGCTAACAAGACTCACATGATAATGAAGATGCTTTGTTTTGCTTGTTTCAACCCAATTGTGTAAATTTTGAAAAGAAAAGAAAGGGACTTAGTAGGGTTGGTTCGGGTTCTACAGCCTGGTTTATTAGGACCATACCAGTGTATTTTCTTATTGGCTCGGGACCATTTACTGCCCTAAACTGGTGAGATTTGAGTACAATTGTTAATATAAATACAAATAAAAACAAAACAAAATGTCCTTAATATATTGATTTTTTATTCATATTATTCATCTTTAACAATATGAAAATAGAATTATTATTCAAAGTATTCGAATTGGAATCGGAATTGAAATCCATCAGTATCAAAATTGGAATGGTCTATTTCCATAATCTCTTTAGTTTAGACAAGAATTAAAATAGGAATTAAAATAAGCTAGAATGGAATTTCATTTTTAAGAGAAGGGGAGAGAATGGGCCATTCCCTCAAACAAGGGAATGTCATTTTACCAACACCAAAAATAGAAATGGAATTTTAATTCTGCCCAACCAAACAATTGGAATCACAATAGCCAATAACCCTAAATTCTTTTATTAGGGAAAAGATGAATCATCTGTACTATCTAACAAAAGACGTTAACTAAGGAACTAATGATAAAAGCACATGTCACAGTTGGAATTTTTAATATCCATAAAGTATTAATAGGAAATACATCTTTGTTAGATGCGAAAGTACATTTTATGAAACTTAAATAATAAAAATTAAATAAATCATATAATGTTTTTAATGTGATTGGTTGAGACATTGGTTTAAGGTAGAACCAATATTAATGAATGAATGCACCATTAATTGAACTCACAAGGAAAATATCAAGAAAAAACTATCACAACCACCCCCCCCCCCAAAAAAAAATCCTTATTTTCACGCATGGATTTGTAGCGGGTCACGAGGGATGTTGGTGATATACAATGGTAGGGGTTTGGTGTTGTAGACATATAAGATTTTGTTAAGATTATTAGGTCAGGTGGGTCCTCGGACACCATGTGAGGGGACCCATTCAACAGACATATCTCTATCATTGACCAAGACATTTCAGATTAGATGAACGGGCTAGATTGTAACCCAACGGAGTTGACTTGATAAATAGCATGGAAGATGATCTACACATGGGTCTTACGTCAGATATTGGGCTATTGGGCCCCAGTCCAATTGATGACCTTGCATTGATTTGGATGCCACTTCGGTGGTCCAAGATGGTGTTTTGGTCTCTAATTCATTTCTTTTCTGGTTGTGTGAACTCCAAGAAAAGCAGGGTCCTGGTTCAGAACTCGGGGAGGTGGGGTGGTGGCCCTCAAAAGCTCAAAAGACCTGATCAAAGTTAGGTAGCGGAAAGGAAATGGATGTGGTTTAAAGCATGTATCACGAGATATGTAGGCAAAAGATTAAAAGAAGAAAACAAAATTCAATCTCTACCTAGAGGTCTCTCTCCACAGATGGGATTGTCTTCAATCATACTAGGATGTGGCCACTCTCCACGGCAAAACCCTTGAAATTGGGTTCAACTATATATGGGACTATTTGCTTTTTTGCTTCTTAACCCAGATTTCTACTTTTGCTTTTGAAACCTCTCTCTCTCTCTAAGGAATCTAATTAAAATGAATTGATTTGGGTTGGCAGAAATTGAGACAAAAATCATAAATATACTTGCAGAGGAGTTAGATAAATGTATGTAGCACATGTGAACAGTTTAAAATCCAGGTTAAATGGTGCAAACTCCAAAATCTGTACTGTTAACAAGCGAGATGTATCCTTCAGATGCTATACAGTAAAGTAAAAGAAGAGACACCTCTTGAGAGTCTGACATATGGCATGTTGGTGACATCAAAAAGTGGGCCACGTGTACACTGTGGCATCTTCTCATTTCCCTAGCTAGCTAATAACCATTTCAGGGAATACCCAATATCAATACTTTATACTACAACCATCAAACCCTACACACATTTATCAGGGGCATTTTGGCCCTTATATCTTGTGATAGTGGGGAACAGTGTTTTCCACGTGTCCTTTTTAGAGACGCTAATGGAACTCAGGAGAAAGAGAGGAGAGATTTTGTTAGAACCACCAGAGTGCTAATACACCTAAATCAATCAATAGATCACCGACACCTCACCATGTTTCACACAATGGATCAAACGCACTAAGCCTTTCAGTTTCCACCATTGAAGAACGTTATCTTTTAGTCAATGGGGACAAAGTTTTGATTGATTTGTTAAAAGCTAAGCACACATAAAAGGCAGTGATTATTGATTAGTTTAGGTAGAGGACAAAGCACCAAGGTTAAGGTATATATAATTCCTAACACACCCTTTAAGTTTTTATTTATTTATTTTTTTTTGTTAGTCTAGCCAAATAGGTGACATCTACACACATGAATCTCAACCATTTCTTTACCATCTAATCACATTTCTTATTCTATGCTGACCCAATTCAACTATAGCTAATTTAATCCATGTAGCTATTTAAATTAAATAATAACTAACACATGAAATTGGTACCTCTAGATTAACTTTTAATTGGGAAGGGTTTAGTGGATTGATTGCTTAAAGAGAAGTAGGGTTTTATTTTTCTTTTGGGTAAAAGAAATGTAGGGTTATTTTAATGATATTCAGTAAAATAATGATTTACTAAGGAGATAGATGGAGTCAAAATGGGCTGGGGGTTTGGTGCATTGTGAGGGCATATTCCATATACCACCCATTAGGGATAAGGAGTGGTTTTGAGGATTGTGAGATCCAAACCCACCCAACACATCTCCATGTGCAGCAAAGGCAAAGAAAGGGGGAGGGGGGAGTTGGGGTTGAGATGTTGAGTGGCCTAACAACCATTCCCTATTCAAATACATTCCTCCCATTGGGATATGGGACCCACCGGCAATGGAGCTGTTGCCTTTCTTTATCCTTTCTACATATATTTTCAGCTCTTGACAACCAGTGTAATTGCTCTTTTGTTGCCTTGTCTTCCTTTTCACAATGTCACATATATATATGTAGGCCTAGTACTGCCTTTTGCTTACCTGTAAAGCCATCCCTTTGCTCAACCCCAAGTGGAACCTTCTCTCCCTTTCTAAGCTACCTTGGATCTTTGGTGGGTCCCTTGTGTATATATGAAAAAAGATTAGGTCTACAATCTACATGATTTGTCGGGTGATAGCAGGAAGTTATCCTCATGACGTGGTTTACTAGCTGCCTACTTAAACCCCACCTCCCCTTGTGGAAGTTAGTTGCAAGCTTGAAGCTAATTCCCTTTGATTTGCTTTCTCTCTTGTGTGCACTACTACGTACGTACTGCTTAAGCTAAGCTGCTTTCCTTATTCCCTCCTCTTCTCTCTACAACACAACTGTAAACGATCGATGGATATGGCCTCTGTGTCATCGGTTGAGAGCTGCTGGGAGCCCATTGTTGAGAAGACTGAATTTGAAGGAATGGAGGTGTCTGAAATCGATGGAGATCTTCTCATGTCCTTGCTAGAAGAATCACAAGTTGATCAGGAGGCCGAGGACGAGAGGTTGGGCTGCGTTATTCGGTCTCTAGAAGCAGAGATAGACGACCCAAATGTGCTGGGTGGCTGTGGCTCCGTTGTCCAGCCTGAATTGGCTGGCCGCCGTGGCAGCTGCGAGGACTGCCGGCTGCAAGAGATGGGACTACTAGAGGATGGCCATCACTGCTCGGGGTCTTGTGCGTCCCAACTCAGCAATGAGTTTGATTGGATTGATATGGATATGGCCTCGTCCACGCCAAGTGATGACATGGGCAACTGGTACATGGACTCTTGTGCTGATGAGATGATTGTTGGGATGGTGGAACTGGGAGAAGTAAGAGATTATTCTCAGTTCTACTATGGTGTTCCCTTGGAGGAGAATGCCTATAGCTCTCTGTGGCAAGAGTCTTATGACGCTCTGATGTTTTGAAGATGAAGAAGCCATGGTGATTGGTGAAGCCCATCCATGGTTGTAGCTAGGAAGAACCCATAAAAGATTTTAACTCAGTTTTGTTTTGATTGGTTGTCATCAATCAGCACCTCTTACACTTTGTAATCTACTGCCCTCTGTTATCTTCCTCTTCTTTGTTTTGTTCAAAGCTGAAACACAAAATTTTAAACTCATTCTGTGGAATTCCCCCCTTTTTGTTGAGAACCAACACTTCAATTCAATCTTTCTTTAAAGCATTGTGAGATAGTGATTGCTGAATGGAGCATTAATGACCAGATTTCATTATAGATTGGGGTATCAAATTTTCAATATTCCCTAAATAATATGGGCCTGGTCACATCTCAGTGAGAAGACAAGAGATTCCTCTATTAATTTACACCATCAAACATTAATAATGAGCATCTTGTTTTCAATTTATCAAAAAATGAGATGTGCCCAGATAATCAATCACCCTCAGGAGGAGATGCAAATATGGAGCACCAAAAGATAAAGAGATAAGTTAAATGGAAATGGTTCATGAAGCAAGTGATTCAATTCTAAAATGAGCCATTGACCTTGGAGTGCAAAAGATGGGTATAAGAGGTCTGAGATGGACTTGGGTGGAGTACAATTCATGAGACTTACCCTCACAATTCTCTGAAAGCTGTGACAAAAAAGGGGTTCAGCAATTTCAGTTTGATACTTCCCAATCCAAAACTGTGGAATCTTAATGTGCACCCGGTAACCCAAATACAGGTTGACTGATAATCCATACCCATTTAAGATTGGATCTGCTTTTGGTTTAGACAAATATGTTGTTTCTCTTTTGCTTTTCAATATATTATTGCCTTGGGCTCTTGGGCATTTTGCATCTAACAAGGAACTCCAACTGTTTGTCGGTGGGCTTCATATTGAACTATCCATTTCATAATTCAAACCCACCCTCCCAAGTCCCAATGGGCCCAGTAGTTTCAGAGTTCGGGTTTGGGATTTCCAACCTCAAAAACAGTGGACCCGGTTTAAGACTCATTGCCCACTCCAAAGTCGTACAGCTTATCCCCACCCTACTCTTTTTCTCTTCTTTTTCCAGAATATTCTTACCCTTCTACCTTGCTTTCTTGTCAAGCCTCTCTCTCCCCCCTCTCTGTCTTTCTTTCTTTATGTTAAAGATTAAACTCTCCATCCCAGGATTCTCTTTTTTTTTTTCCAAAAGATGTGTCAGATTGAAGGGAAGAATATGAAAGGAAACCCACGAGCGTTGAAACCATTTAATTAGATAGGAAAAAGGTGTGCAATTATGTACTCAATCTATTTGTTTTTCTTTTCATGTCTAGATTATTAGTTCACCACCTGGAGCAATTCCTGGTTATTAATAAAATATTAGAAAGAGCCCGTGAACCCTAAAACGGTTTTATATTTGTCTTTTAGGAGCACAGTACCTTAAGATAACCTTAGTGTAAATGAACTCTCAAGTCTCAAACAAGCCTCACCGACACCCTGGAGGGACTTTGCAACAAGCAGAGAAAGTAGCCAGGAAGTTTGTAGGGAATTAACAATTGAAGCAATCAAAAGAAGGCCATATACTTGCGGCTGTTTGGTAAGTCTTTTCAAAAGATTTTTTAGAAGTTCTGATAGTTAAAATACGTAATAAGGTTTTGCAATAAGATCTTGATTTTCTAAAGATTATTTGGTTAAGACGTATCTTTTCGCGTGAAGATGAGTTGAAAAAAATCGAAAAATTTTATTTAGAGCTTCCTAAAAATTGTCAAAAATGGGTTTTACATGTCTTTTTCGACAAGATGTCTTTTGATGGCTAAATCTTTTTCTAATCAAATTAAACGAGAAAAAACGAAAATACATACTATCGAATTTCTAAAAATGTGAGTCTACATGAAAAAATACACCAAACGAGACCTTTAATATATGCTTGACCTCGATGCTGTAGTTGTAGCACCATTTTCTGAGAAAACAATGCTTTTATTTTTGTTTGAAACCGCTACTGCCAGATAGGACGTTTTCTGAAATAATATTAACTTTTTCTGTTTGATACCAATACTTCAGAAAATAATTCCAAACAAATTTCCATTTCCTAAAGCACCATTTTTTCTGATATAACGTTAATGTGACACCGTTACTTAACGTTAAATTATGAGCATAACGTTAAATTTTTTCTGATATGAGCATAACGTTAAATTATGCTCATATGACACAATTAGGGATGGACAAAGCTGAATCCCTGTTCACTGACCTAGAGCTAGACCGACACTCAGATCAGATCTGGAGTTCAATGCAATGCCACAATAAAGCCTTTGGATCAAAGCACCAGACAGCTGACTATGTATTTATTGTATTGAAAGGAAGACAAAGAATAGTTTATTTCCAATTGGGTAGGGCCATCTTAATAAAGTCAGAATGATCGGTTTTGATGATTAATTAATTAATAGGTTGAATAATGTGCAAGTTTAAGCTGATTATTAAAGGTTTCTTAAGCCTATAAGCCAGAAGGTGTGTCTCCAATTTCTCTATTCCCTTGTCATTATTATTTTGCTTTTGTTGTTGTTGGAATTTAACTATTTATTTCTTTACTTGCATTCCATTGATCTCTGATTTCAAAGATTGACCCAAAACACTTTTCAGCTTTTTTTTTTCTTGGACAGAACTAGGGCCACATGACAGGAGGGTAGAATGGCCCAGTGATCCATTCTTATTTGGGAGAGGGGCATGAGACATCATTAAGTCAAAAGCAGAATATGATACCGCTCTCTCTCTCTCTCTCTCTCAAGCCTTCTACCAGCCCCTCTTATTTATTTGGGATAATGACTCAAACCACCCCAAGCTATTTGACAATTGCTTAAATTAGCGTTCAAGTTTAAAATCTACTTCAATTACACTATAGTTAGCTATCAGAAATATGACCTAAAGTATATTAGATGACAGTCAGAAATCACATACACATGTGATATCATGTGATGCATTAAATTTTCAAAACCCAAATTTACCTTTACCTAATCATTCCTTACTTCATTTTGTACAGTAGTCTTGGGAATGCCAACGGGTCGGGTTTGGCATGGGCTTGCCTTCATGCCTTAACCCTAGCCTGACCCTCTAATACCCCAATCTGATTCATCCTAAAAAAATCCATAATTTTTGAACCCGATTTGACTCTATAGGGTTTAACCCAATATCAAACCGCCCCGATCCATAGTATTTTAATTATACTTTTTAATATGTTTTGAAGACTTAAAATCTATTAATTTAAGTTAGGAAACTGTTTTATAAATTTTAAGGTGTCACATTTTTCATTTGAAAAAAGAAGAAAAAAACAAAATGAACATGTAAATAAATCCTAAACTTTAAGGCTATAGAGTTCAAAGTTAAAAAGTTATAAGAATACTTTGTATATATGCAGAGTATCATGACCCAGCGGGGTAGGTCAGCGAAAACCCTAACCCAACTTGGGTCAAAGAATCAAAACCCTAACCCGACCCTAAAGTCGAATATGTCTGACCTTAACCCGACACTAAAGTCAAATATGCCTGGCCCTAACCCAACCCTATAAGGTTCAGCCAAGCTAGGTTTATGATTTAACCCAACCCATTGACATCCCTTAGTCTACAAGTGGACAAGTTCTAAGAGGGATCCACCCGACACCCAGGTAAGCCACGAGTAGTCTACACAAGGCACCTAGGTTGAGGACCATGTGTTCAATGAATCACCCCACACCCAACCATCTTGCCCCCTCGCATGTGCTACTCCACCTAGCACCCCCTCCCCTACACACATCAAACTTCATAAGCCCCACTGTCACAAGTGATCTCTTCACCATGCCATCAAGTGCCACCCATCATGCCAACGGCATGCCATCAGAGTGCCTTTATGTATGTCTTGGGTGGAGCTATTCATGTATTTTGTATGAGGGGAATACTAATGGCATTTTTTGTAATTATCAGTATGATTTTTCAATTTTCACCACTCTTAATATTTCCTTCTGTTACTCTCCTAAAATCTTAAATTACTCTTTAAGGGGAGGTAGATAGTTGAGCGGTGCCAATACCATGTAAAAGTTAAGCCTGATGTCCCCTTGACACAAACTTGTGTACTTGTGCTTGCCATCTTTAATGCAATACAAAGTTTTGTTTTGATTAATTTGTATGCTATCGCTATTTCCTTTGTTACTTGTTGCTTTGTTCCGTAGGCTTTCTTAACATATTCGAGCATCGTATAGGGCCTCGACAACTAGCCCCTTGACAATTGGTATTAGTGTAGGAGTTCTTTGCTAGCCATTTGACCTGTGACGCAAGTGACATCATGAAGCACAATAGGGACATTGCGGAGGAGATCAAGCATGGACTCTCCTAGTTACACGAGATTGATGATACACCCTTAGTGACAATGCACTGAAGATCTGTACATCAAAAGCCAGCAAGCGTAAGAAATCTATCGACAAGCACACAACCATTGATATGTGTGTGTTACGTTGCGAAGCAACAATGGACAAGATGTGTGATCAGGTGGACGAGCTCCATCAAAATGCCAAAGCCATAGAGAGTGCGATGGTGGAAGTGGAAGGCCGCTTAAGCGGGGTTGTGAGTGAGGTCTACAATGTACTCAATGGTACATTCAAGGAAGTTTGCAGCACCACACGTCAACAAGAAGGAAGTTCATCCCACTCTCACGTCTAAGTCAAGCTTCATAGTTTCCAAGCCCAACTCGATCAAATGAAAAGCGAGTGGGCAACATGGAGGAGAACCACGTTCTCTACAATGGCCATATAGGCCCAACTAAATGAAATTAGGGAAAAATTGGCTTCTATGAAGACAACCAAGCGTATTTCCACCAACATCTAGACCTAGCTAAATGAACTCAAGGCAGAGTGTGCAACCATGAAGAGAGACATCGCTAATCAAGCCAACAACTCAGTCGTGCACACTCCTACCCACATCAAGATTAGGGAGCAATATATTACAGCAACCAAGATTGATGATTAACAGGCTCAAGAACGTACAACAACCATGTATTTGACTAATGTTGCTATGTTATTGTGGCATAGAAGGTGTATTAACATTGAATGGGGCATTTTCATCATGAATACATGAACTGATTTCAAGGAGTTGAAGAGACAATTCTACCCAAAGAATGTAGAGTACCTTGCTTGTTGTGGGATGAAGTCCCTCAAGCACGGCAACTCCCTCAAGGAGTTTTCTACTCTTGCCTTGGAGATCACCGACTTGTTATTCAACTTCATGAATGGGCTATGACCATGGGCGAAATTAGAACTTCAACAACAAGGCATTCAAGACCTTGCT